ATTGATGAGGACAAAATATTTCCAAATGTGGCCTGTGAAGCTAATATTATTTAGATAGTAAACAAGAATCCAGCCAGAAAAAAATAGTTTTAAGCCAACATTTCTGATAAATATAGGTGCAGGAATCATCAATAAAATACTGCCAACTCAAAACCAGCAGCCCATTTAAAAGGTTATAATCAAGTAGGATTCACTTCAGTGATAAAAGGATGGCTCAGTATATGGAAATAATAAATATGATACAACACATCAACAGAATGGACAAAAATATTATTTCAGTAGACACAGAAAATGCATTTGATAAAATTCAATATTTTTACATGACAAACACTGAACAAAATAGATACCAAAAGACTATACTTAAGCACCATAAAGGGCTATAGATGAAGCCTATAGCTAAAGCATATTAAATATGAAAAGCCTAAAAGCTTTCTCTCTAAGATCTAGAACAATACAAGTGTACTGGTTGGTTTTGTGCATCAGCTTGACACAAGCCAGAGTCATCAGAGGAAGGAGCCTCAGTTGAGGAAATGCCTCCATGAGATCTAAGGCATTTTCTCACATAGTGTCCAACGGGGAGGGCCCCCAGCCCATGGTGGGTGGTACAATTTCTGGGCTGCTTGTCCTGGGTTCTGTAAGAAGGTGGACTGAGCAAGCCCTGGGAAGCAAGTGGGTAAGCTGAACCTCTCCACGGGCTCTGCATCAGCTCTTGCCTCTGGGATCCTGCCCTGTTTGAGTTCCTGTTCTGACTCCCTTCAGTGAGGAACAGCAATGCCTAACAAGCCTTTCCCTCCCTAACTTGCATTTTGCTCGTGGTGTTTTGTTGCAGCAATAGAAACCCTGAGACATCCAGGATGCTCAGTTTAGCTCTTTATATCCAGCATAATTCTTGAAATCCTATTCAGAGCAGCCAGGCAAGAGGAAGAATCAAAGGTCATTCAAGTTGGAAAGGGCACATGTGCTGGCTAGTTTTTGTTAACTTAACCCAAGCGAATGTCATCTGGAAAGAGGGAACCTCAATTGAAAAAAAAAAAAAGGCCTCTATCAGACTGCCCGTTTTTTTGATTGGTGATTGATCTGGGACACCTAACCCACTGTGGGAGATGCTACCTGTGGGCAGATGGTCCTGGGTTATATAAAAAAAAGTTGAACAAGCAACGGAGAACAAGGTGGTAAGTAGCATTTTCCCACAGTCTCTGCTTTAGTTCCTGCTTCCCGGTTCCTGTCCTGGCTTCTTTCAGTGTGGGCTGTAAGCTGGAAGATGATAAAAACCCTTTCTTTCTCGATTTGCTTTTGGTCATGGTGTTATCACTAGGGAAGTCAGTCAAATTGCCACTATTAACAGACAACCTGGTCCTACATGTGGTAAACCCAAGACACAACCAGAAAATGATTAAAAAATACTAAATGAATTTAGTAAGTCAGGACACAAAGCTTTCATGCAAAAATCAGCATCATTTTTATAAACCAGTAGCAGATAATCTGACAAGAGAGTAATTCAATATGCAACAGCTGCAAAAGACTATGTAGAATGCATTTAGTCAGAAAGGTAAAAGTTCTTCATGGGAAGATTATTGTAATAAAGACATTGAAGAGGACACAACCATGCACAAGCAGAATGGCAGCCTGTATTTTTGTGTCAGAAGAATAAATACTGTGAAAATACGCATACTACCTAGATTAATCAAAACCTCAGGCTGCTGGCATAAAAACAGACACAAAGACCAAAGGAACAGAAGTGAACCCAGTCATGCATGACACATTGAGTTTTGACAAAGGTGCTAAGATCAGGCACTGGAAAAGGATAGCATCCTCAATAAACGGTGTTGGGGAAATTAGAAGTTCATATGGAGAAAGACAAAACTAGACCCGTACTTTTACCCATATTAAAAAATCTTAAAATGGCTAAATAATTTGTGCTAATGAACTATCAAACAATTAGACAAAAAAGAGGTCATGCTTCAAGATATTGCAATGGGAAGGATTTACTTGACTAAGACCTCAAAAGCGCAGGTATCAACCAGGACTACACACATGAGATTCCATATAATTAGAAAGCTTTGGCACCACAGCCATCAGAGTAAAGAAACTATCTGCAAAGGGGTCGAAAATGTTACACACATTCGCTCTCTGAGGTAATGTACAGCATTTATGAGGTACTGAAACAACAAAAACATTAATGATAAAACAACCACAAACCCAGGAAAACAAATGACAGATACCAATAGACATCTCTCAAGAGATGACATACAGACATGTAACATATTTACAGAAAAGCTGCACTCCTTTACATCCCGCAGCATTTATTCATCATGGTCAAGACAGAGGAGCTATGTTGACACTGTTCCCATTTTAATTGACTATAACGATTCTTCTAGGATCTCAAAAGGAAAGATCATTCCCAATTCAACAAGGTTTCTATGATAAATACTGACTGGTTATAACTGGTTCCCTGAAAGCCAAATAATACTTTTTGTCTCAATAGAATAAAAAATTGGGATGGATCACTGGTCAACTGCAGCTTAGCAATTACTATTGTTTAGTCAATGCACACCTCATGGTACCTGACATTTCCGACATGCTTTTCACAAGGCTGAGCAGTTTAATAATGGTGGCCAGTGTGACTGTCTCCAAAACAAATGGGAAAATATCACACCACGGGCAACGTTAATCCATCCAGGAGGCAAAAACAAGAAAATGGAGCCCTGGTCTAGACTCCTCCAGCGTTACTCAATCAAGGCAAATTATTTATTGTCTTCTGCCTAGGAAGTCCCAAAGGGCATGAAATATTGATTTAGGTGTTTGCCGGGCATGGATGACTGTGTTACTCTTCTTAATATATGATGAATTGTTTCTATGTGTGCTGTGATGAGGCTGAAAAGCAAGTTAAACATGGTTATTTAATAAACATGAAATATAAACACTAAACCCCATTCCCAATTACTAATGTGGGGTCATGAAAGTTCATTGGATGGTGCACCGGCATTGCTCACATCACAGCCTAGCTGCAGGCTTCTATTACCTACTGCAGGCATGAACTTTACAGCATTTTACAAGACGTGATTCTAATCTTCCTGTGAGTGGGACAACGAGGGGTGGGGAGCCTATGTGTTCTACATGGCTGACCTGGTTCTCAAAGCCAGAAGGTTGGAGGCTCTGTGTGCTAGAGGAGAAGTTACAGTAGGCTGTAAAGAGGAGCAAACACTGGTCCTGGTCTCTGTGGAAGACCAGTTTGGTGCTACTCGTAAGGAAAGGGAAACGCAAAGGATGCAGGAGGTGCTTGTTTCATCAGCTGAGAATCTTTGCTCCGTCCCCTCCTACACAAGGTAAATTCTCAGAACTAAAGTGAGGCTCACTCATCAACGACCAGCGTTTGTATTTGCTTGGTTCTACTACTTCCTGTGGAAGATACACAGAGTAATGTCTGTGAGACCACTTCATTGTGAACAGAAACTATTATTAGCAATATAGTTAATAGCTGGAGAGAGTCCCTGAAGACACTTGTGATCCCTACTCAATGGATCTGTTCTTTGGTTCAATGACAAACAATGATTCTGTCTTTGGTTTACTTAAATCAGTCTCCTGGATTTGCAACCATCCTAGACTGTCTACTGTGCTTATTTTTTCAAGTTGACTTATATGGCCCTCTTTGTGGTCATTGACCTTATATAAGGTGCTTACATGGAACACATCCAAAGGTATATTAAATGTACCAAATCCACTAATTTAAGACTTTAAGCAATTCAAGTTCAGTTTAATTGACATCTGAGTAACTCTGGGAGAAAATGGTGGATCCCCTGGGGATCTCACTAGGTACACTGAGTCGCCATGAAAACTGCCAGGAGACACTAGAGATTTAGTGAGGAGGACATGCTTTCTTTCCACTATAGCAGCCCATGGCCTGCTCAATCTCCGAATGCTAATGTTTTGTTTCCAGACTTTCAGTGCTGGGGATAAAATCCAGGGCCTTCCAGTCTGAGGGAAAAACTCTACCACAGAGCTACAGCCAGGAGCCCAAGCACAGCACTGTTCTTTCTGCAATGGTGAGGAGGTGGGGGAGCATTTACCTTCCAGCTCAAAGGAGCTGTTTATGAAACAATGAAGGGTACAGATATTACTTGTTGATCAGGCTGTTCCCCCATGCCTTGTGTTCAAGTGTTCAAGGATAAGCCCTGGAGAAATCTCGAGTCAAGGGTGTTACTTCTTTTCCTAGTCTAATGCACAATGGGAGTCACACACCCTTCAACAGGAAAAGTGTTCCCTTTTACATGCTATCATATCTGGACTTCGGGTGTGATCTTTGGTGCAACACTGGGCGTCTGCACAGTGTCCTTAAAAGTTTCTTACAGCTCAGCTCTCTTGGGTAACTTCAAAGCTCTGCCCTCAGGCGGTGCCCACCTCTCAATACCAGCAAACTACCGCTCAGGTTATTTTAGAAGGCGTGGCAAGAAGCACCTGCTCCGTGAACCTCGTTCCAACTCTTATTTTAAGGGAGTTGTTCTGTCATTTCCTATCTATTCCAAGTGTGCTTTATGAGATCCGGTTTCAATTCCCCAGTGGTAGCTCCCAGATCCCATTACAATTCCCGGAGCTCTGAGTATGTGTGAGTGAGGGAGAGAGCCCAGTGCTGGCACTAGGCTCCCCAAGGTTCAGTTACCCAGGGTGGGTTCCCGAGCCCGGTGAAACTCAGCGGAGCGCTCTGTGGCCCGGGAGC